TGTTATTTGAGGCCATAGTCTATTCCTTGGATTTGTATTTAAAGTTGAGAAATTATGATAATAAAATGTGATACTTGATATTATGGAAGTAATGAAGAAAATTGGTAGCATTTTTTTTCTTTTTCGACGTGGTTTTTAGTTATGGAAGTTTTTTTGTAAAAGTTTTTTTTTTTTTTTTTTTTTTTTTTTGGTGGGGGGTTTTTTTTTTTTTTTTTTTTTTTTTTTTTTTTTTTTTTTTTTTGATGATGATGAGATTGAAACAACAGTTCATTTGTTGTTACTTTGTAATCAGTCATGCAAGTTTTCCCAGGTAACTTACAAAGCTTGATGAATTGGTGGTTTACTTCATAGTAGTTGCCTAAGGTTTTTTGAGCCCTAGGCCAAGCATCAAAATGAGGCCTTAGGCTCTAGGGCCTTGGACAGTTGGGGCCTTTGGCAAGAAGGAAATTATTGGTGCAGCTTAGGCAAACTGCTAAGTTGCCTATATTGTTGAGCTGGCTTGGTTACTTCAAGCACTGCTAGAAAATACACATTTAGCGACGTTTAAAAAACGCCGCTATAGGTGTAAAAAACGTCTCTAATTCTTTTTGTGACATTTAGTACCAAACGCCGATAATGTAGCCGTCGCTATAACTTTATAACGTTTGGAAAACGTAGCTATATTAGTATAGGCGGCATTTTTATAAACGCCGCCAAATGTCCTATCCTAACGATACTGTGACGTCAACTCTGACTTTAGCGACGCTTTTAAAATGCCGTCATAGGTTTTTTTAATTTAAAAAAATTCCAACCGTGGCATTTTTAAAAATGCCTTGTCATCTTTTTTTTCTTTTTTTTGAAATTGTGCTAATTTAATGTGATTGAACTAAAAGAATACCTATAATAAAATTGAATAGCACTAATATGAAATAATAACTCCCATTCAAAAATGCGACATTAATTCACTTTCCCATTCAATGTAATATCAAATCACCATTACCCACAAAATAACATATCCAAAAATTGAATTCACAATTCTCAATCAAAAAATTACTACTTTGTATACAAAGCCACAAAATGACATTACCCTCTTCTCTCTCTCACCACTCCCCCATTTAACACACAAAATAAGCTACAAAATATTACTAAGAATATTAATGCCAAAGCACAAAGAGAAAAGTAGCTACACACACCACACCATCAGTAACAAAGGCAACTAAAACACACATTAGTGTGTTAACATGAATGCAAATACAAATCTGAAAAATATTACAATACTCTTCCAAATATTAATATGAACTGCCTAGAAGTTACAATATAACGTTAGTACAAAAGAGAAAAACATATGAAAATGACGAGTGTTTAAGATATTTTCATTTTTCCCCCCACCAAACTAGTGTTTAATTTTTTTTGAAATTTTTTTAACAAACATTCCCAAATTGAAACCAAACGGAGAAAGTTGTGTAGCTTGAATAACCACAGGATATTCAACATGGACTGAATACCTCGATATAACCCCAAACAGACTCCGGATCATACTTTAGCTCAAAGAAGCTTTCCTCGGAAATTTCTATAGAGTTCTCTTTTAAAACATTTTGCACCGTCAGACCACTGAACAAAGTCTACTTGTCAGTTTACTTAGAACAAGCAGCGTTACAACCAATTAGTAAGAAAGTAGATTGAAATCTCACTCTCTCCTCATCACTAAAAGCAATCACCTGTAAGGTTCAAGCGCAGTGTAAACATGATGTTTACCAAGTCAATCATACAGACACAAGATGCTAGATCACACTGGAAGGTAGTTCGTTGAAAATTTAATGAAAAACTGACTCTATTCATGCAAAAGTTCAATTTTAACTCCAAAAACCCTGTAATCACTGGCATAATATGGTCATAACAATCTCTTGCCAAGGAATAGTCATCGTCATGACAATCTCTTGCCAACGAATAGATCACACTGTCATATACTATTGCCACTTTAACATGGTCATGACAATCACTTGCCAAGGAATGGTCATCATTTCCAAGAGGACCGTTACACAGTAAAAAAATAATTAGGAACTAGATGATGAAAATCATCCAAGCAACCACCAAATTCAATTGACTATATATAATAACCAAAATGCAGATAACAAAATCTTCTACCACATGCTCACATGAAGAAAGAAAATGACAGCACAACAATTCAAAATGAATCTAGTAATAAAAGGTTTACCAGGTTCATTGCAGCAATCAGTACAATAAATTTTAAAAAATAAATAATAAAAAAGGAGGAAAAATCAGAGTGAAGGAGCAAAAAAAGAGTCCCAAAATAGGAAGAATAAGCACTATGCAAATCTTTTACCATTTTAAAACAAGCCAATATTAGCAAGTTCATACTACCTGTGATTCACCATCAGAAGAGAAACAAACAGTCCAAAAGTATCATTTCTAGCAGCAGTTCCAATTAATCAGTTTTTATTCCAGATTCACAATTCTGCATATAACGATATTATTTCATCTCCAAGAGTCAATTTTCAGCATGAGTAAGTAATCCCATCTAGTTCGAAAGCATAGGCAGCAACAGATCCAATCGATTTAGAAAGTTCAGAAATTAAAAACTTGTGATGTAGGTACTTTTACCTTGTTAGTTCTTCTTGTTCTTGTTCTTGTTCTTCTCTTTCTTTGAAAGGTGAACCTACATTTAATAAAAACAAGTATTTTAATTAATAAGGTCTTGTATTGTCAAAAAGGCTTTGATTAAATGATTGTTCACTTCTTGAGATGAAAATGTATGAGATTGTTGCTGATGTGGCATTGGCCGAACAATGGGATGACTACCAAGCAAATCCACAACCTATCATTCAATAAGAGACTTAAGTTGTATGGTAGCTCTAGGAGATTTAAAGTAATAACTAGTAAAAATAGTCTTAGATATTTAACTACTGGATGCATACAGTAATGCAATGCATCTTACCAAGTAGGAATGGGCAATAACAAAATATAAGATATGGAGAAAGACCTTTTCATATGAATTCATAAATTTGTCAACAACCACCAAAATATTTGTGAAGTTTTAAATTGAAGCACATAAACCTCCAAACAGAGACACCTCCCGAGTGGAATTCTTGGCTTTTGGACTGCTCCTTTTGGGATTAAGGTTAGCAGGTTTTATCTCACCAGTGATGTGGGAAGATGATGACGCTGAAGTTCATCACGAAACTGAGGCCCAGCCCGAGTATACATCTCCTGAGGAGGGAACAAGATTTGGATCATTCAACATTTGCAAAATCTGATAATTCAAAAAAACCTAGTAAGTTTCTCTCTCTTTTTAATGTAGAATAAGTAAGGTATCTATTCTATAGTCAAAACATAATAAATGACCATACAGGAGGAAGAATAGCACGCTGAAGAGGGAGCTCAGTAGATGCAAAAAGACCAATCGCTGATGTGACTGTACGTGCAAACTCTTCTCGAACTCTCCAGCTTTTGTGTGTCCAAGCATAAAACCCTGCTCTCTTGACAATGAGAATTGGTGAAGAAACCTAAGACAAACAATCATAATTCATAA